ACATAGGCCCAAAACATAATATTCAGTAATTTCAAAAAAGGACTGTCCCGCAAGATACGTGTCCATCCAACATCTATATAAAAACGAAAAAAGACTACGAAAGAACTAGACATAAGCAGACCAACCCTCAACCCTTAGCCTTAACATCAAAAAGAATATAATAAAGAAACATTAATTTGCATCTAACATTTCGCAAATATCAATAACCTTTCATCATCATCATCATCATCATCATATCAGCCAAGAGACGCCCACTGCTGGTATAATAACCTTTGCTAATTAATATTTAAGAATACTGATATCATTTAACAGCAACCAACACAGGTGTCCACTACACCTGTGTTGGTTGCTGTTAATCTAAGTCGCTCCAACTAAATGCCAACAGAAAAGGCTACTTGGAATTGTTAGGGGTAAACGATGTAGTATATCCCGGAACTTATGTTATAAACTATAAATAAATAAAAAAGATTTTAAAATACAATATATACGCGACCAGTTTCCTATGGCTGCGTTTTGGCCTTGTATAGATAGGAAAATTTGAAGAGCCGCGCACTTGCGCGCCATCTATTCATAGACGTCTTATACAATCTAATATAATGCAACGCGAAAGTTTAAAAGTTTTTTTTACTAGTCATCGAAGAAAATGGGTCTATTAAATATTTGCATTAAAGATAAGGTTGACTGTTAGAGAATGCCCTTGGTATTAAGTCCGCCATTTTTATTTAATGCAATAAGAGTAAATAATAATAAAGAAATATTTCAAATAAACTTCCCTAAATACCATCATCCCTATGCCATATTTTCATTACAAAAAGTAAACCTTTTCCCAAGATCAACACTAGCTCTATACCAAATTTTATTAAAAAACGCAACAGACAAACGCAGTTACTTTCGTGTTAAGGTATAATAATAGTAGGAATGAATGAATATTAACATGTTAAGAAATGTTAAAATAAAAGATAAAGAAACCATTAAAAAAGGAGTTGTATTTTAATTTTAGAATAAGGTTTTATTATATTTCAATCACAGTCAAGCGAGTTACGAAGTCTCGTCTCAATTTCAAAATTGTGGAATAGTATCGATAGTGGAATCCATAGTCAAAAGTTGTATACCAGTCAGAAACTGGTTAAAATATACTCATATTATATCGCACCGACAACTGTATATCTAAATAAATCGTATGATAGTAAATATAAAAAAGTTCAAGGTTAACGGTCTGACTTTATCATTTACTGCGGAGTTTATTATAGGTACCACCCTTTTTTTTGGAAAGGTATAATAACTGTGCTTTAACCAACGAAGTTCTGCGGTCATAACAGTTAAAGTTATGATGTCACCTAACATTGCCGAATTGAACAACTCATTATTTGCCTAACGGTAGTTTAACATGTTTGTTATTGTATAAGTAAGTTGGTGCAACCCAACCTCACAGCTTCGTATAATTTCATCTAAAGAGTTTTATTGCAGGGAGAATTGAATACCAGATGTTACCAACACATAAAGGCAATCATATATTGATGATAAACGGCTACACTTTTGCGAAGGATAATAAGAGTAGCAACTATTACTGTTCAAAGAGAAGATCCGGATGCCAAGCTCGAGCGAAGATTGATCGCGATGGCAAATTGACGAAGACACCATGCGACCATTCCCATGGTCCTCCTGATTACATAGTTACTGCTTCTGGTGAATATCTGAGGGTGAAAAGTCGATATACCGCGTGTTATCAAAATGTACGATATAACTAAATGGTGTTGAACGACTCCTCTGTAAATTTTTCAAAATATTAGAATGAGTTTTAATTTTTTTAGTAAAAAAGGTTAAAGTACCTAGTCAACCTTATCTGTATAAGTATAAATTTTGCAATTACCTATTTGGGAAACGTTTTGTATCTGAAACTCGATCCACCAAGGTGCGCCGCGGTACAGGCAAAATATTTCTGTATTTTTCAAATTAGTCGAAAAGTGCTGCCTATTTATTTTGTAGCAGATTCCTAGATAGCGCTGTTCTTACCTTATTTATATCTATTTATTTTGTAGTAATATCTTTAGATGTCACTGTCACTGATGATACTCTATGCGTCCATTTTGTGCAAGTAGCGAAACGACGTCTTGAATATTCTTCTTCTTCTTCTTTTTAATTATTGGCGTTTCCCTTCTGGGTTTCGCCAGAATCCCGTGTTTTGCTCAGTATCGTTTTGCTTCTACTATAAACTCTGACTGTCGACACCGTTTTCGCGGATGTAGATTTCTTTAAATTAATAGGCAACAAAGCGTGTCTACCAAGACCAAAATATTTTTGTGACATATTTTTAATTTAAAATTATTTATTTGTACTTTTCCAAACAGAGTAGTATTAACCGCCTCCGCATGCGGGCCCGATAGGTTCTTATGTGTTATTGTAAATGAACATTGTAAATGTGTTATTAATGGCTACAACTTATAGGTACTATTTGTGTATAAAGCTAGTGCTTGCATTGTGTATATTATATTGTCTAAGGCTATATGCATATAAATAGAAATTGTGAAATACCTAAATGAAAATTACCTAGTATACATTAAGAATAAGTAAATTATTAATAAAAATTGAATAAATAATTATAGTAGGTACATGATACTTACAATTGTTTTTTATTTTTTTATTGATAACCACAGCTTTTAGTAGTCCAAGATTTTATTTTTCAAATATTTTTTTTTTAGTTGTAATGACTATATTCACTGATGTCTATGTTTCATTCTTCACAGCGTGGGAAGGTTTTTTTTCGATTTAGTAAACCGTTTTGTGACTTAAGTAAGCTTTTAAAAGCTAATTTTCGGTAGAGTCAATTGGGGCACTTGACTCACTATCGACTAAACGGCCGTTGGTAAATATTCGTGCTTGCAATAGCAGCAAAAAAATCGGTTATTAGATAAAAAAAAATAGGCGACATGCTAGCGAACCCGTAAATAACTATTGTTCTTATTATGTCCGAACTAATCTCGATCGAGATTCTTCTTATTACCTAAATCCATTAGAAATTGTTTTTTTTTTTTTCGGTGGAGCGCGTTGGAAAGCATAATACACTGTGCTAAAAGAAATTCCGATTTCTGATAATTGTTAAAGACTTAAAGATCATGCGCTCGGGTTCCGACATCGGCAGACTTAGATTTTAGGCAGACCTGGTCGTCTACTGACGCGGGGTCAGATTGTCCACTGCCGCCCAGGTGGTATATGAAATGTACTGTATGTAATGTACATTATATGAAAAATAAAAATTAATTACAGCGAATGTGGAATATAAGATGATACCTACACTTAAGGCATTCGCATATTAATGGTCGACGGACGGTTTTTTTTTTTTTTTTTTTTTTTGTTTTGATCGGTTTTCCCCACTAAGTAGCAGGCCATCTTTTCTGCTTTGTTCTTTTTGTGCTTTTTTATTCTTTTTTGTAAGGGTTATTATTTTTTAACCCTTGGGGATTCATTTTTTATTCCCATTGCCTTTTTCAAGGACTTTAATTTACAATTTTCTTATTTACTGTCGACGGACGGTTATACTTTCTCGAAGAACCACAGAAGTCTCAACTATTATTGATCGAAGAGAGTATCTGGATGGCGGGCTCGAGTGAATATGGGACAAGATGGGAAATTAGTTATAAGCCAATTGCCAATAGAACATTCCCACGACCCACCGAAATATATCGCACGTTGAGAATGACAATGTCACTAACTGAAAACGAGGCATCTTTATTTTTTTTTATAAACTTTAAAATGCAAAGATCCTTGTGAACGTAGTTTGCATAGAAACTGATTGGTGGTGACGATACTTTGTTTAGAGGGGCGGAGCGTATAACATCGTATGACATTTTTTTAGTAGCAGCGGGTACGCCGAAGTTATAGGTACTTGTTCTACGAAAAATAAAGTATTTTTTGGTAATATGTCGTTTTAAAGCTACATAGTCTTTATCATAAAAGTGACAGAATTGTATCACATTTTTATCAACTTATTAAGTGAAATTATGATTATAACTGTCATTTTTGGTTTGTTTGTCATTTGAGGTGAGGATAGGTAATGTTACAGTAGCAGTGAACGAGTACCTACGTACTCATTTACTGCTACTGTAACAGTAACGAGGCGCGCGCAACGTTGCCGTTTGGTACAAAATGAAGGAGGGAGTCAGTAACGCTAAACAAAACATATTTTGTCTTTAGATTCTAAGATACAAACTTTATTAGATTTATTATTTAATAAAAAGACCACAACACGCAACTTATTTTTAATAGTGTTAAATATCCCATTTTTAAAACCGATACATATTTATTAACTTTGGTTTTTACTTAGACTAATTAATATCATATTACTATAAAATAAAAAATTAAATAGGTATTTGCGAAGAAACACATAAAAAAACCTGAATCGTTCCAAAAAACTTATTAAACTAAACCCGTTCCCTCAATCTTGAATATAACTCGCTATTCTGTTGCGTGAGGTGTCATATCGTGCTCGCGCCTCAAGCTTGAAGCCTCAAAAAGTGAGGCGCTAAATGAGGTGGTTCAAAATTGAAAAACGTGTACTACCTCATTTTGTCGAAATGAGGACCTCAAACGAGGCACCTCGCGAGTGAGGGGCTCATCACTAATACTATCTGTCACCATCGATACTATTATAATTTTTATCGTACAACGGGACTAATTCTAAGTAATATTTCAGAAGTAATTATAGTATGAAATATTCGTTGTCGATGATATGTGAAAGTGGTAGGTAACATTGAAATTGTTTCTGTTTGCAAGATTATATTTTTGAACAATTTATGTATACTTAGATAAAATAGTAGTGACTTAGAAAAAGGTTTTAGGTACATTGAAATGACAAAGGAGTAATCCGCCAAACACAGCGATCTCCAGGAGTACCATAGACAAACGAGCAGAACACTTTTGGGTCGTGGTTGCTCTGCAAGTTAAATGCACTGATTAGTTATTCTTCTTGACCGAACTGCCTCTCTGAGAAATGCTCTTCATTTCTGGCCGTACATTGCTCTGCTAGAACACTCAGTCAATTCTCTGTATCATTGCTTATTTAAGGTCTCTATCGAGTAGGCGATTGACTTCTTTATTTTTTGGCTTCAACGAAGCCCTGGTACTATCACCCTATCATCGAGTATTAGTTCCTCGTGACGTAATCAAAGAATTTAACTCGGTATGTTTATAACACATTTTTCCATAGATTATTTAAACAGAGAAGCAATTTACTGTCTATCTATCATTGCAGGTAAATATATTCCAACGCCACGAAAGAAAAAACTTTCAAGGGTAGAAATACTTGAAAAAAAGCGAAAAGCGGAAAGTTTAAGATATGAACGTTTAAAGAATGATCCTCAAAAACGGGAAGAAATGCGGGAAAAAGAGCGCTTAAAATACATAATTAAAAAAGAAAAGGGCATCAGAAAACTAGTGAAAGATATGAATCCTCGCGAACACAAATCTGTAAAAAAGGCATGGAGGGAGTATTCTGCTAGGAATCGGGCTAAGAAGAAATCGATGTATAACAAAACTTAATATAAAAAATAAGAGGCTTAAAAAGATTCCTTGGTTTGTACATGGGTATGATGTGGTCCTGTTATAATGGATATTTTATTGAACTGTTTAAAAAACATTTTTTAACTATTTATCTAAAATCAAACATCGGGCTTTTATTTGAAACGATGACTTTTGAGTCTTCGTCTTTTGAATCTACTTTGGTAGATGATATTTACACGGACTCAGAGATGAAAATAAATCTGGTACTGTAATAGAAAATGTTAGAGATTCAAGTTTATGTAAATGGAAGCAATTTTTTAATAATAATGCCCAATATAATGTAAAATAATTCAGTCGTGATTTACATCTTTAATTTGTGATTTCATTTAATATTTTTACATCTCGTTTTGATGACTGATTTATTGAAATAAATGCTTAAACAAATAATATAAATGACGTTAACATGTTGATTTTAAATAGTTTATGGTAAAATTAAGCTATAATTGAGCTTAATTATATCAAGGAGATATTTATTTTAACAGATACATGTTTTTATAATTTAATAACTAGTGTTTCAATTTAATAAAAATGCAGATTCCGGGACATCCATTAGTTTCTACACCCAGATTCTTTAAAAATTGACTATAAATCGTAAAACAGTGGAGAAATATGTATACCTATATTTAATAATTTTTAGTAAAAAAATGGAATGCACGAAATCGTTTTGAGAAAAACATTCAAATATTAATTATTTCGATTTCAAGTCCGTTTTTAAGTTATTACTTAACACGTTTATACTTAAGAGGCAATTAATTAGAAAACGGCAATTTAAACAATATATATAATTTATATCACGACCAAAGCCGCGGGTAGGTTTAACAAAAATCTGATGACAGCTCACTAAATAGCACTCCTCTTTATTTTTGTGTATTCTACAGTGTGCTTTATTTGAATTTCTCTTTTCCAAGTAAGGACGGTAAACGCTTCAACCTTTACGGATTTCCTGTAAAAACCACAAGAATGTCACATTTACCCGGAAGGGCGAAAAGTCACTGTAAATGCATTTAGCGTTTCTTTTACTTTTCCATGCTTTATGCTTCCACATGAATTAGAATTAGGTTATAAAGAGAGAGGCGACAGGGACTGTGCTTAAAGCATTTCCCCAACACATAAAGGAAGTATTAAATGAAATACACGTTGAATAGTTTTGATTAAACATATTTAGTATGACGAGATTATTAAATCTAATGAAAAATAATAATTGTACACTCGGCTGCACGTCAGGTTATCACAATATGTCAAATTTCTGCAATGGATTTTGACTTCTACCTTTGATATTTTAAGATTTGGAACCGAGTGGGAAAATTTGACTATTTTGTGTAATTTAAGGATTAACATTTGAAGATATTTGATTCTAACTTGTACTTTTTGTTTCTTGCTGCATCATGTTGATGAAGAATATAATTTGACGTTTAGTGAATATACTAGAAGTATTCAATAAATCCTCTTACGTAAAAAAAACTCTTATCCAGGTACTGAAGACTACAAGTTTATACCGAATAAAAGAATCTGCTAATGTACCAAGGTTACACTTATTCTCAAAAAAATATGTCACGAAACTATTACTGTTCAAAGAAGGACTCTGGATGTAAAGCTAGAGTTAAATTAAATATCGACGGTCGTATATTGTACGCTGATCGAAATCACTTCCATAGTCCGCCCAAATACTTAATGTTACAATCAGGACAATACGTTAAAATCTGATCGAAACTCTTTTATATTGGACGTTTCTAAAGTACTTTTATTAAGCTTAAAAAATGTTTTCATTTTAAAAATGAGTCTCAATAACGTCGGAATGATTGCTTAACTGGTGTACCCAGGAGAGTGCCTTTTCTCTCAGGATGATTTTGAGACGGAACTTTTGGTTGATCAAGTGGTGAGCTTAAGTAGGCTCTTGGAAAGGCCATTTTGCACGAGATTTCCTCTAGCCTTTTAAACCATTATTTAAAATATCCTTGTTAAAACTTATCGTATTGTTTCAAGGTTTCATGGTCATTAAATTAGAATGGTAGTTCTCTACAGAATTGCTACCGTCTGCCTTTTTTTATTGAGTTTTCGATATTTCAACGCAAGCTAAGCTTATTTGCTAGTGCCGTGATCACGGAGTAACTGAAGTTCTCGCGGGTAAAGAAGTTCTGCAGATATATCGATCTAACCATTCCATCAACTCCTTATATGTTCCATACCCGTGCCACTGTTCACTGCGGCACCACCAACTCGCACTTTTTCTCAAGGCACAACACTTAATACAGTGAATGTTGTGTGTCGAGAACAGGCGCTTGCAACAGTGCCGTAATATCGGGGACTTAATAAAACAAGGTACATTGTAACAATCCTGTAGAAAACCATCATTCTAATATAATATCCAGTCGGCCACCAATTGTGTTACTGTTATTATATCAATACAGAGGAATGTCTATATTCTGCTCCTCGTTATAGAGACGGAGACCTAGACAGAGACATTGAATATACTCGTATATTATTCTATCTTTAAAGCGCTTCTAAACAGGCTATATTTTTAGAAGCCCCTTTATGTACTTATGTATAAAATTAAAGCAATGTTTCAATATGTAGTTGACATAATAAAATAATTGGAATTTCGGATTGTTTTGTTTGGATTGCCCCTAAAGACACCGATTTATTTATATAATATCTATTTTTAAATTCAACGTTGTTTTTGGTTTAATTTTATAGGTAAGTAAGTAATACAGAGTTTGTATTTAAAATGCCATCTCACCATTTAACTCCAAATGGTTGCCCCACAGCTGTTGTATTTAGAAAAACCCAGCGTGGTTGCCGCATGCTTTGCCGATATGGATATTGTTATGTGTGGAAAAGAACAAACAAAGATGGCTCAGAACTGTGGAGGTGTACTAAAAAGTTGATTTGCAATGCAACAATTAAAATGATACGACACCCATTTGAAATTGTCCATTGGACTGAACATAACCATATGCCATTAGAGTAAGCAATGATTTACTTAGATTGTTATTCGTGGCTAGAAAATTTGATTTTTAGAATAAACGGTTTTTTTTTGTCGGTTATCGTAAAGCTATTTAATATAACAGAAAATTGCAAGGTTGTCTCTGGATATCATTATTTGTGAAAGAAAACAAAAAAATGAGAGTTATAGGGATATACTGAAATATGTTTTAAATGTAATGCCACAGTCACTGAATTTACATTCGTTGAAATACTTGACTAGATTAGACATTACCATATGTCTAAGAAATGAGCAGTGATTATCTGCGAAAACGGATACATTATGAGTATAATCAACTGTAACGAAACATTCTAAGAAAATGATACAAGATGTTATTAAAATATGGAGTTAAATGACCTCGAATGTAATCCCCAAACTTTGTGCCACATTTTATATATCGCACACCTAGATCTAAAACTAAGACAACTCAAGAGTGAGTTTTGACTTAGTACAATATTCAAATACTCGGTGATCATACGCATCTATCCAACATAACAAATTCAATAAAGGTTCGGGGAGGAGCCGCTAGATGACTTTAGCTTTCTTTTGTTGAATCAACAGTGGTCGCCCTCCTGCCACGTAAACAAATGTATTGTCAGACCTCCACATTAGTTTTTTGAGTTGTCTTAGTTTAGATCTAGGTGTGCGATATATCGATTATTGTGTATATATTCTGTAGATGTTGTTTGAGATGATCTCGTGGTTCTAAGACTGAGTTATAAGAATAATCCTTAAACCTGAAATATCATAACTATGTGCTGAAACCTGAAATAATGTACTGTTCTTTGTGCGTCAAGTCAAAATATTTAATTCCAGGAAATATGGCAGTGTCTCAAAAATGACTAAGATTTCAAAAGAAATCAAACATTATGAGCCACTACCTATTTGTGCAATTTTGGTAAACTTAGAACTTGTTGTCAGCACTATTATAGATACAATATAAACAACATTGGCTATAACCTCTATTTCTATCAATATTGTATATTTTGCCTCATCATATTACGATTGATTAGTTTGTTTTATCACATTAAGATTTTAATTTTTGGAAGAAATAAATATCATAATGGCAATAGTATTTCTTTCTAATTGCTTCCTTTTCTTGTTTCTTAAAAGTTATTGATAACATTACAATTTCCACATAATTGCATGTGGTAATGTATTGTATATTTAGAATATTGCACTGATGTTTTTTTTTATCATAATATTAAAGTTTTAACAATTGGTAAATTCGATTGCAGGTTCTCAGCTCGGCTACGAGTTGATACCGACTGCAAAAGGCCGATTCTTGCTTATGTATGAAGGTTTTACATTTTCCCAAAAGAACCAGACTCATTATTTTTACTGTTCCAAGAAAAATTCCGGATGTAAAGCTAATGTAAGGTTAGGCAAGGATGGACATATAACATTCGCTAATTGTTCACACACTCATGCACCGCCGCGGTATGTGACTCTCTCCACTGGGCAATATATAAAAGCTTAACACGTCCCTAATGTAACTCAGAGTTGTTTGCAAGCAAGTTTAAAATAGACCTCATCCCTTTATTACGTAGGATAATTGCTAGTTTTTTTACCCCCTCTAATAGTATTAATGTTGTTATGTTCATTTTTGCGATCTGTTTTGATCTTGAGATAGCGTTTGAAATTTTAACAAATTGCTCAATTTGAAATCGATTGAGAAGAATTTGATTGAATCTATATTTTTTGCTATGAGCTATAAGATAATGTTTGGCGTCAGGTAGATAAAGCAGTGGGAAAATGCTATTAATTGAAACACCATTGAAGTACCTATCCATAATTAACTTTTGCAAAATCGAGGCCCTGATCTCGTGAGAGATTTTTTTAAGAGAAACTGTTTTCGATAAATCGATTGATCTATATTGTTGACTGTACTGTATTTAATTATTGTAATAGTGATAAGGTTTGATTTTTTTTTTACTATTTTAGGAAATACACGTATCTTATTTACTTTATAAACTCTTACTATATTATCAAGATTAGTTTTGTGTGAATTGCATATGATATGGTCAGTGTAATGGTCGAAAATATTGATTAAAGTATGCTATATTATCAAAGTTATGTGGTTGGTAACTATTTTTTCTCAATAAATAGGTTATCTTTTTCTACCTGCACCGAAAGTAATTGGTAAGACGCTAAAATTTTAACGTGAGAAAATAAATAAAATCGTTCACAAAGTGAGATGCAATTTTTCAGGTGATTTCTACGGTTGGACATAATGTGAGTTTTATTGTATTCGTATAATTCCTCCATGGAGAAACGTCTATCATAGTTTTAGACATCGTGTACCCCAAGCGTTCACTACATAATATATTATAGAGATTTTTTGTGTAATCTATAGGTATATATAATAATTAATCGTAAAATGGGATGATTATTTTTTATGTGTTCCTTATCAAGGTCAGGTCAAGGTTTGTATACAAGAAAATTAATATAAAAAAAATCCTCACTCGCGACTGGACAAAAAAATATGGCGGATACTACGAAGTTCGCCGGTTTAGCTAGTCTTAGTTAAAGTTGAATGCTAACCGCAATATTTCCACCGGTTAGTTAATTTTTTATTTAGTATGTTTCTTGTTCGTTCAAAATCATTAATTCCGATGGCGTGACTTTAAAAATAATCTAATTCCATAAACCTTTGAAAGAGTTTGAAGTGGATTTTAAAAATGGGCAATTAGAACACTGAATGCCTGAAGCGGTTGTATTTTAAATTTATTTTTCTTTATGATTTATTTGTGTGTCAATGATCAAAAAGTCACGCATTTGAGAATGATAAGTTTTAGGGTTCCGTATCCAGAGAATAAAATGGGAACCCTAATACTAAGAC